ACCTCACCTCGATAACGACCCCAAGTAAGTGGGCCATCAAGCCTGTAGCCTTTTGTGATGCCTGCTCAAAACCTCACCTCGATAACGACCCCAAGTGAGTGGGTCATCAAGCATGTAGCCGAATGTGATGCCTGCCCAAAACCTCACCTCGATAACGACCCCAAGTAAGTGGGCCATCAAGCCTGTAGCCTTTTGTGATGCCTGCCCAAAACCTCACTACAATAACGACTCCAAGTGAGTGGGTCATCAAGCCTGTAGCCGAATGTGATGCCTGCCCAAAACCTCACCACAATAACGACTCCAAGTGAGTGGGTCATCAAGCCTGTAGTCTTATGTGATGCCTGCCCAAAACCTCACCTCGATAACGACCCCAAGTAAGTGGGCCATCAAGCCTGTAGCCTTATGTGATGCCTGCCCAAAACCTCACCTCGATAACGACCCCAAGTAAGTGGGTCATCAAGCCTGTAGCCTTATGTGATGCCTGCCCAAAACCTAACCTCGATAACGACCCCAAGTAAGTGGGTCATCAAGCCTGTAGCCTTATGTGATGCCTGCCCAAAACCTAACCTCGATAACGACCCCAAGTAAGTGGGCCATCAAGCCTGTAGCCTTATGTGATGCCTGCCCAAAACCTCACAACAATAACGACCCCAAGTAAGTGGGTCATCAAGCCTGTAGCCTTATGTGATGCCTGCCCAAAACCTCACCTCGATAACGACCCCAAGTAAGTGGGCCATCAAGCCTGTAGCCGAATGTGATGCCTGCCCAAAACCTCACTACAATAACGACTCCAAGTGAGTGGGTCATCAAGCATGTAGCCGAATGTGATGCCTGCCCAAAACCTCACCACAATAACGACTCCAAGTGAGTGGGTCATCAAGCCTGTAGCCGAATGTGATGCCTGCCCAAAACCTCACCTCGATAACGACTCCAAGTGAGTGGGTCATCAAGCCTGTAGCCTTATGTGATGCCTGCCCAAAACCTCACCACAATAACGACTCCAAGTGAGTGGGTCATCAAGCCTGTAGACTTATGTGATGCCTTCCCAAAACCTCACCACAATAACGACTCCAAGTGAGTGGGTCATCAAGCCTGTAGCCTTATGTGATGCCTGCCAAAAACCTCACCACAATAACGACTCCAAGTAAGTGGGTCATCAAGCATGTAGCCTTATGTGATGCCTGCCCAAAACCTCACCTCGATAACGACCCCAAGTAAGTGGGCCATCAAGCCTGTAGCCTTTTGTGATGCCTGCTCAAAACCTCACCTCGATAACGACCCCAAGTGAGTGGGTCATCAAGCATGTAGCCGAATGTGATGCCTGCCCAAAACCTCACCTCGATAACGACCCCAAGTAAGTGGGCCATCAAGCCTGTAGCCTTTTGTGATGCCTGCCCAAAACCTCACTACAATAACGACTCCAAGTGAGTGGGTCATCAAGCCTGTAGCCGAATGTGATGCCTGCCCAAAACCTCACCACAATAACGACTCCAAGTGAGTGGGTCATCAAGCCTGTAGTCTTATGTGATGCCTGCCCAAAACCTCACCTCGATAACGACCCCAAGTAAGTGGGCCATCAAGCCTGTAGCCTTATGTGATGCCTGCCCAAAACCTCACCTCGATAACGACCCCAAGTAAGTGGGTCATCAAGCCTGTAGCCTTATGTGATGCCTGCCCAAAACCTCACCACAATAACGACTCCAAGTAAGTGGGCCATCAAGCCTGTAGCCTTATGTGATGCCTGCCCAAAACCTCACCTCGATAACGACCCCAAGTAAGTGGGCCATCAAGCCTGTAACCTTTTGTGATGCCTGCCCAAAACCTCACCACAATAACGACTCCAAGTGAGTGGGCCATCAAGCCTGTAGCCTTATGTGATGCCTGCCCAAAACCTCACCACAATAACGACTCCAAGTGAGTGGGTCATCAAGCCTGTAGCCTTATGTGATGCCTGCCCAAAACCTCACCACAATAACGACTCCAAGTTAGTGGGTAATCAAGCATGTAGCCTTATGTGATGCCTGTCCAAAACCTCACCACAATAACGACTCCAAGTGAGTGGGTCATCAAGCCTGTAGCCTTATGTGATGCCTGCCCAAAACCTCACCACAATAACGACTCCAAGTTAGTGGGTCATCAAGCATGTAGCCGAATGTGATGCCTGCCCAAAACCTAACCTCGATAACGACCCCAAGTAAGTGGGCCATCAAGCCTGTAGCCTTATGTGATGCCTTCCCAAAACCTCACCACAATAACGACTCCAAGTGAGTGGGTCATCAAGCCTGTAGCCTTATGTGATGCCTGCCCAAAACCTCACCTCGATAACGACTCCAAGTGAGTGGGTCATCAAGCCTGTAGCCTTATGTGATGCCTGCCCAAAACCTCACTGACACCTGTCATTCTGTGTTCCGGCCTTCTGAAAAAAGACAAGGAGTCTTGATTCGTTATGGGTGAAGCAACTGCCTGACGCTATGACATCGTGCATACTCGTTTGATTAATACTAATCACTGGGAGACATCTCTTTACCCTCGATGCTTTCAATACATTGTGCATTCCTTGTGGTCTAATGATGTCATGAATCACAATGAAATAGTGATGATGCAGGATATTTTCGCGAAAAGGTGAGCGTATCCTGCCCTGCAGATGACACCCATCACAAACACATGCGAAATCCAATCAATTATTCACCTGAAAAAAAATGGTTAAAACTCACACGGGGGAATTGCATCGAACGTCATTATTGTCACTAATGCGTCAAATTTGGAAATCCCTTCCACATATTTACAATAAAGCGTTTGCAAGAGTCGTTTTACGCTCCTTGAAACCTCCGTAGATATATATAGCACACTCGAGTGTACCATAAAAGTTGTGAAATGTCAACACCAAAAGCAGAAGCTTATGGAATATTGCCCAACATAGAGGGAAAGATGACTACTGGAAAGTTGAGGTATTCCAGCTTGTCATGCAGTCTTGTGGAAAGTGTTTTGTCTGCCTCAATCTTTATGCATATATCTAACTATGAAACGGGCTGGGCGGTCTCACTGGTCTCCTTTATTTCAAGTTCAGGTGTGTGATTCAGTGGAAAGGCAGTGGCTTTTTGATAGTTATTCGAGGGCATCTACTATGCGTTCCTAGTTGCGTGTTGGCTTCAAATTTAAATAATGTTCCATGTGTATTTTAGTGATAAACAATGAATGTAACTGTGTAACATTGTTTCTGTTGAGATTCAGAGAAGCCCCCTGCCAAGACCCAGCTTGACCAATGTCTTTGCCACTGGTTGACTATAATGTTAGGGGGCACGGGTGGCCCAGTCGTCTACCGCGCCGCGATTCGCTGTGCAGAGTTGCACGCAAGAAACCTATGATTGTGGGTTCGAATCCCGGTTCGCCCTGATTATGTTTCTAGGTTTGTCAGCACCATACCCGTGCTCGTGGGTTTCATCGAAGAGGTAAACGTCTGACACCTGCATCACTTTGGGCTTTCCTCCCACATTAAGCTGACACGCCTTGATATAACTTGAATACTGTTAAAAGCAGCGTTTAACAGAACTCACTCACTCACTCACTCACTATAATGTTATTATTATCACTGACTTATCTATCATATGCATTTTTGCATTTGATAGTGACCACTGTGATCATATTATTTACTGCAATTGAATAGTGTACTGACATTCTATTGTGTACCGCCATTGTAATTCAGTAATTTGCATTGATTTGGGAACCTGGTGAATTTTGTAATATATTTGTGGTATACCTGTTGGTTGTTTGTTGGTTTTCACACAGATTTCTGGGTTGACATATTCTTTCAATTTGGGAGTCGGCACGTAACAGTCTTACTATTAGCTTCATACTATTTCATCAGATTTTAACACTTACACCTTAGTTTTTGGATAAAGACAAATGCGTATCCTCAATGCTTCACGACAGGTAATTACTCACAGGTGTGTCTCATAATTAGTCGAGAGAAATGAAATATAACATTGTGTACAACGACAAGTGAGAAAAGGTTGTATGTTTTGTACATAATGTTCCTCAGAATGACTATAGAAGCGTATTAAAATCACGCGACTTGACAATAAAGCTCCCCAGATAGTCTTTGTGATGAAAGTGGCACATGCAAGCAAACGTATGTATATATATGCACACACATTGAGATAAACACACACACACATACCACGCACACGTATGTATATACATAAACACACACACACACACATACGCACGCACACGTATGTACATATATGCACACACATATACATAAACACACACACACACCACACACACACACACACATAGGCAGGCACACGTAGGTACATATATGCACACACATATACATACCCCCCAACACACACACACACGCACGCACACGTATGTATATACATGCACACACATTTACATAAACACACACACACACACACACACACACACATACGCACGCACACGTATGTACATATATGCACACACATATACATAAACACCACCCAACCACCCAACCACCCAACCACCCACCTCCCACCGCAACCCCCAACCCCCACACACCGCACACGCGCGCTCCCACTCACAGGACAAGGAAGTTTGCCACAAAAGAAACAAACAAACAGTGGGTTGTTATATATGATAGTTATTTCTCATCACAATGTTCAGATATTACTTAAATGTTGACATGTAAATTGAGACAACCGACCTTTAACTGTGTTGATTTTTATTTTGTTCAAATGTTGGACAGTGATTATACAATTGTTAACAAAGTGGTAGACGATATGTAGACAAGTGGTGGACAATTGATAGACAAGTGCCTGCATTGGGAGGAGAAGGATGCTAGAGAGGACCGGGCTAATGACCTACTTCAGTTACAGCTGAAACTCACTTCACTTGGTATTGTTTGTCAGTTCAATGTACAAGTACCAATACGCATGTAATGCAGCATATTAATATCACAAGGGTTACAGTCACGTGACTCATATTCATATTACACGTCAAGAATATTTTGATTGACAGCTAAGTCTGCTGTGAGATAAAGTACTTCTCACTCAAGCACACATTCACTAGGATGACATTCAATCCTTAAAGGAAACGACCCTGTCAACAGCATGGTGTTCCGACTTGGACTTTGTGTGATCTTGCTGTGTGCTTGCGGATATGTTACCGAATCCAGTGACTGTCAAATTCGTGACAACTACGACACCTTTATAAAATCCGTGGACTACTTTCTGGCTGCCATGGATAAAACATGTGGGAACACGGACATGCGCAGTGGTGAGTAACTAGCAGCCGTCACTTTGCCATCCCACACACGGCATTCGTGCCTTGTGAGTTTTGTCTTCTGGTTAAGTTAATGTTCTTACTCGAATTCCACTAACAGGATATCAATCCTAAAACTGACGTATCAGCCATTCTCGCTGCACGAATGACGAGCGGAGCATTTAGAAATAACGGTAAGGCACCTGGCCGCGTCCAGAAATATGAAACCTACAGGTAAAGATCAACCGCATCCTATGCCTAACGTCAGTCGGGGGATTCACGCCATGTTATTAACTTTTGTACAAGGCTTCGATATTTCTCCTTTTTCTCCTTGAAATAATCGACGCATTTCAGACGCAATCTAGACGCGCACCAACTAATAAATTGTTTTGTGTTTCCGTCGTTTTGCCCGCCCTGTGCACATATACAGCAAGAACCGACGGTTTCGTGTCTGGGGATGTTGTGCACTCCAAACCTACGGGTCCAAATATGCTGAAACTTCACACAAACATAATTGTTGTTGACAGTGTGTGTTAACACAATAATATACAACAGCGAAGATCTTCTTGTAACTTTAGAAACATTGAGAAAATGTATTTACTTGTTTCATATTTGTTAATAATTTTGTCCTCAGTATTTATCAGGAACATATTTGAATGGCAATGTTGACAGCTTTTGTCAGGTGTCCTTTGCTGACATGTTATAGTGTCGGCTCCATGTCCACGTGAGCTAAAGTGCCATACTTCTACAGATCTCGTATATATATTTGATATAACTTATCTGTGAGCTCGTGTATATATTTGATATAGTTTATCTGTGAACTCGTGTATATATTTGATATAATCTATCTGTGAACTACTGTATATATTTGATATAATCTATCTGTGAACTACTGTATATATTTGATATAATTTATCTGTGAACTGATGTATATATTTGATATAATTTATCTGTGAACTCGTGTATATATTTCATATAATTTATCTGTCAACTCGTGTATATATTTCATATAATTTATCTGTGAACTCGTGTATATATTTGAAACATGTTATTTGTGACATCCTGTATATATTTGATATAATATACCTGTGAGCTCCTGTATATATTTGATACATGTGATTTGCGAGCTCCTATATATATATTTGAAATAATTTATCTGTGAGCGCCTGTATATATTTCATACATGTTATTTGTGAGCTCGTGTACATATTTAATATAATTTACCTGTGAGCTCGGGTATAGATTTGATACGTGTTATTTGTGAGCTCCTATATATATTTGATATAATTTACCTGTGAGCTCGTGTATATAGTTGATACATGTTATTTGTGAGCTCGTGTACAGATTTAGCACATCTCGTGTGCAACTGTCCTGATATCTGCATGTTATCTGTGTGCCATGTATTTATTTGCCACTGTTTATGGCAAGCCTGGGACCAATTGCAATTCGGAATCGGTAGTACTTGTCAGGATTCATGTTATTTTACTGCATCGCAAATTTTATTTTCAGAAAGCAAGGCAACACACCTACAGACTATGGACAACCGTATAAATGACCTCGAGAAGAAAGTCGGTGATTGGTCTTTTCTCATATAGCATTACGTTTTATTCCTTCGTACTGTCCGTGGATAGAGTGGACGTTCGGTGGTTCTGTTCCCTGGCCATTTCATACCAATGAACCTTAAATTGCGGCATGGTATCCCAGTGGGCTAGCACTTAAAACGACAACGTCCAGTCTATTACAAGTAGCCACACACACACGTACATGCACGTCGAAATATGAATGCAGTGGACTTGTCTTTTAAAGGCATTTAGAAGTGATTCACATAAGGAAGAGGATCTATGGATGTCAACTTATTTATTATGAGGAACACAACGTTTCGGAGTATATACTTACTTCTTCATGAGGTTATAAATGCTATATGGCAGATAACGTATATATGTACCTGTAAGAACAACAAAAGTAATAAGATAGCAGACGTGAAAACTTAGCAGGGGAAGCCAATAGATAATTGGCGCTGATAGGTGATTAGCAATGGACAAATAGAAGCCAACACTTTACAGTAAATTAGCGCTGATAGTTGATAGCGATGGACAACAGGAAGCCAGGACTTAAATTATCACTGATTGGTAATGGACAATGGGCAAGGGTAATAAAAATGATAGGTAATAGAATGGGAATAGCAATATACAAATGGAAGCCAGATCGATGATTAGCAGTGACAATGATCAAAGCAATAAATCCCAAGCACTGGGCAGACAGGTTCCCTGGTCGCGGTTCATGGCCAGCTGGTGTCCCCTCATGTCATTGGCTTCTTGTAGTTTTCTTTGTCGCATCGGGCAGGATCCTGAGGCACCGTAAGTCCTCATGCTTCCCACTGAGCCCAGATGTGGTTGCTGTGGCTTATAACCCGTGTTTCACACAGTCGTAAATACTAAATAAAACTGCTTTCAGATATGACTTTGATGTAATTATATGAGATGCCTCAACTGCTACAACTTGTTCTGGTTGCTATATGGCTGAAATAATGCCAGTGTCACGTTCATTTTAGGTGCCGTGAAAGGACTGAGTGTAGTGAGTCTTGAAGTATGGTCAACTTTGATTTACGCCACATTTACCAACATTCCAGCATTCTCACATTGTGTGTGTGTGTGTATGTGTGTGCGTGCGTGCGCGCTGGGAAGCAGTAATCGATGTTTACACATTGTACCTATATTGAAAATAAGTTCGTAATGTTTGTATGTATATTTACTTTACAGCCAATCTGACGGCTGAGCTAGGTGTAGATTGTGGCCCACCGACTCCTATAGAAGGCACAGACGTTGTCTACAGTTCAACAGGTCTTCATTCTGTCGCAAAGTACAGATGCAAGAAGGGTTTGCTGAACAAGAGTCCTGGTGACCAGATGATGAGCTTCTGTCTGAAGGACGGGTACTGGACGATGGTCAGCACGACGTGTGTCAACGGTAAGGAACTACTTCAATGTCTGTCTGAAAATGTCTTGTACTTTTTTTAAAATTGAGGAGGAGTATTTACCCCCATAATCACGAATGCAAAGTCCGATTTATGATAACAGCAAACATTGTAATGATAATAATGATTATTATGATAGTACTTGACCGCTCTGACTGCTACTACTACTACTACTACTACTACTACTACTACTACTACTACCGACCCGTGAAGATTCCGGGGTAGAATAGGTCTTCAGCAACCCATACTTGCCGTAAAAGGCGACAATGTCATGGTTCCGAACTGCGTGGATAGATGCTCCTGATGTCAATCACTGGATTGTCTGGTCCAGACTCGATTATTTTATAGAATGCCGTCATATAGCTGGAATATTGCTGAGTGCGGCGTTAAACAACAAATAAACAAACAAAGTACGACCACTTCTACTATTACAACTATCACTACTACCACTACTACCACTACTAATACCACTATTTTACATTCACTGATGGGTGAAAAGAGGTGTATTTGGCTACCACTGTTTCAGTGGTATTTATCTGCATAACCATAGAAGAACAGTACACCCACAAGAAATTCCGAAGGTGGCATAACTTAATTTATCAATATATTTCTATTGTCTTTGACAGTATCCGGTTGCTGGATGATATCTGGTTCAAGAGTGTTATATACTGGCACTCAGTCAAGAACCAGATCCGGCAAGACCTGCCAGCGGTGGGATGCTCAGGAGCCACACTCTCACGGCTACGAAGACGGGCAGTTCATTATCTCAGGCTTTGACTCGCTCCAAACTGTTAAGGAATCTGCCAACTACTGCCGTGACCCATCACGCAGCGGGTATTTGTGGTGTTACACCTCGAATCCAAAGAAGCGTTGGGAAAAGTGTGATGTCCCCATGTGTTCGATGCTCCCCTCTCCTCCACCCTCCCACTAACGGAAGCAGTATTGCCTGTTCTAGGTTCTGTGCTCCCCTCTCCTCCACCCTCCTACTAACGGAAGCAGTATTGCCTGTTCTAGGTTCTGTGCTCCCCTCTCCTCCACCCTCCTACTAACGGAAGCAGTATTGCCTGTTCTAGGTTCTGTGCTCCCCTCTCCTCCACCCTCCTACTAACGGAAGCAGTATTGCCTGTTCTAGGTTCTGTGCTCCCCTCTCCTCCACCCTCCTGCTAACGGAAGCAGTATTGCCTGTTCTAGGTTCTGTGATCCCCTCTCCTCCACCCTCCTACTAACGGAAGCAGTATTGCCTGTTCTAGGTTCTATGCTATACTTCAAACTACATTACTAATAAATGAACCTTTTTCCTTCGAAGATTGAAAACGCGTCCTGGTTTTGGTCTGACTTAGGCCTGGAGCGGTAGCTGCTTTTGGCAGCGTGGTAGTTGCCAAGCAATGGTAGCGTTTAAATATGCTACCATGGGGGCCGGACAGCGGTAGCAGTCTCAGGCCAGCAGAGCCAGCTGTGAAACGCCGTTGGCCACGACATTGGCCATGGCAACGGTAGCATTTTGGTATACACAACTAGCAGCTTAGTGGCCCACCGGTACCTGCACATCCTCGGCCATTTAACCCAATCTCATCTTCTGTTTTTATTATAGGCACGGGCATCCACGGCTCAGCGGCCCGTGCCTCTCCTTGGCATATCGCGGGATAGTTGTTGTGTTAAACCTCGAATCAAAAGGCACGTTGAGAAAAGTGCGATGTCCCTATGTGTTCCATGCCAAATTGATTTGTTTGTGCAAGTACATAACTGACACAATGGACCCCTCTCGTCCGCCTTCCTACTAACGGAAGCAGTATTGCCTGTTCTAGGTTCTATGCTATACTTCAAACTACATTACTAATAAATGAACCTTTTTTCCTTTGAAGATTGAAAAACGTCCTGGTGTTTTATTTGTAATAGTGATAATTAAAACAAATTAAACTTCAAATTCGAATACCGCATGCAATGTGTTGTTTATGACGATATGTGATGAAGTGTCAATGTGCGTTGCCAATTACATATGAGTTGTAATTTGAGAAGACAAGAACATCAAAAGTTAAACTTTCTCTTTGACTCACTGCCTTGTGGCAATTCCGGGTAAGAATATGTTTGGCCTAAGAGGCGACTAAATGGATCGGCGACTTTGGCGAATGCTTGTCATCGTATATCAATTGCGCGGATTGGTGCTCATCACTGGATTGTCTAGACTAGATTCTTCTAAAAAACACATTACAACAAAGTAATACAAATGGCAGACATTTTTATAGCATACTCGTTGGACTCAAAAGTTGTGAATTGTGGAGCTTCTGGAAAATTGCTCGACACAAAGATGGAGTGGACTATTGGATAGTTGAGGTCATCAATCTTGTCATACAGTCTTTTGGAAATTGTTCTTTTACCTTAAGGGGGCACGGGTGGCCCAGTCGTCTAAGGCGCCGCGATTCGCTGTGCAGACTTGCGTCCCTTGGGCACGCCAGAAACCTATGATTGTGGGTTCGAATCCTGGTTCGCCCTGATTATGTTTCTAGGTTTGTCAGCACCATACCCGTGCTCGTGGGTTTCACCGAAGTGGTAAACGTCTGAGACCTGCATCACTTCAGGCTTTCCTCCCACATTAAGCTGACACGCCCTGATATAACTGTAATACTCTTAAAAGCGGCGTTAAACCCAACTCACTCACTCACTCTTTTACCGTACAAACCTCATTATGAAACAGGCGAGGTAGTCTCATTGGTCTCTTCTGTTTCATTTTACGTGTGTAAATCAGTGGCATCATAGTGACTATTTGATATTTTTTTAATGATATCAGATCAACGATGAATGTAAACATGAAACTTTTTTTAAACCTTTGGCTACATTACCTTTTTGTGAATAACCAAGCTGAAATTCCGATTTATTTGCATGAAGAAATAGATCAACAAGAAGGAAGCGCAATTAGGTCTATTGGGGATGCTTACTTCTTGCTCGTAACAATTACATTAACAGGTTTCAAAATGGGAGCAATACCATCGTAATAAATAACAGTTGACAGTACATTCTGCACTATTACAGCTACACAGGAAAGATTGTTTATGTTGGTTGGTTTCCGACTCTGTACACACGATGTGGACATAACAATTATCACTAGTTTACAGTAGTCTTGTTATTACCTTCTGGTATCGTTGTAACCGGTTCACAGGGTATTATAAAAGGCATTCTAATACATTTACTACGTGTACCGGGTGCTGTGTTGGCTTCAACTGTGTCTACATACACCATAGTCTTGCTGCCAGTTTGAAACTATTTCATCAGTTTCTAACAGTTACACCTGACATGTTAGATAGAGGCGAATGTGTATGCTCGATACTTCTCACATGTAAATGCTCTTAGATGTGTCGGACGGTCGGGTAGCCTTGTGGTTCAAGCGTTCGCTCGTCACGCCGAAGACCCGGGTTCCCAACAATGTGTGGAGCCCATTTCTGGTGTCCAACGCTGTGATATTGCTGGAATATTGCTAAAAGCGGCGTAAAACCATACTCACTCATAGATTTGTCCGACATAATTATTCGAGAGAAAAACAAAAGTGTGAAATATTTTATTTCTAGTGATAAGTTTGTATCATGTTCCAGGGGATGACTCTAGAATCGTGTTTAAAACTTGGTAATGAAGCTCCCCAAATTAAGCTGTTGTAAAGAATTGAACGTGGCGTCTCTGGAACTAGTACCTCTGTGTTTGTTTAGCCTAGCAGGGTGTTAAACACACATTAGTAGATAGGTTATGCTAGTTTTCATCCACTCTATGATGGCCTGTAAACTAGGAACTCTGGAACTAGTAACTCTGTGGGTGTTTAGCATAGCAGGGTGTAAAACACATATTAGTAGAAAGGTTATGTTAGTTTTCATCTGCTCTAGGATGGCCTGTAAATTAGGACAAGTGACCTTTAATTGAGATGGCGTTTCCTTCAAACGTAAGACCATGACTATACCGGAACTGCTCGTTTTAAAGCCCGGATTTCACCTATCATAATGGAATTACATTTTATCTAATTTTGAGACCAGGGCTTAAAAACGAAAAAGGTCAAAGCATGAAAGGAAGGAGTATGTCATTTTTGATGAAACAATACTCACAAATGGCATGAGCAACGCTTAAACATACACCATGTTTTTTTTCTTTTTTTAACTAAGAAATCATGAGTAAAAGATCCTTTCATAATTGAAATGACAGCTGTCAACAAAATAACAACAAACCAATAACAGTTATGCGTGCGTCATAACCGTTTACAGTGTGACGCTGAGTATCCAGAATATCATCCACGTCCAGTGTGTCTTGCCAATGTGTTAATCTCGAGAATAACTTGAGGTGCAGTATTGGTGCAATATGTTAACATAACAGTGTGCTACAACAAGTGGTAGACAGAGGGGAGACAAGTGCTGAACAAGTGGTAGACAGAGGGTAGACAGAGGGGAGACACGTTCTGGACAAGCGGTAGACAGAGGGGAGACAAGTGCTGGACATGTGGTAGACAGAGCGGAGACAAAGGGTAGACAAGTGCTGGACAAGTGGTAGACAGAGAGGAGACAAGTGCTGGACAAGTGGTAGACAGAGGGGAGACATTTGCTGAACAAGTGGTAGACAGAGGGGAGACAAGTGCTGAACAAGTGGTAGACAGAGGGGAGACAAGTGCTGGACAAGTGGTAGACAGAGGGGAGACAAGTGCTGGACATGTGGTAGACAGAGGGGAGACAGGTGCTGGACAAGTGGTAGACAGAGGGGAGACAAGTGCTGGACATGTGGTAGACAGAGGGTAGACAGAGGGTAGACAGAACGTAGACAGAGGGGGGACAAGTGCTGGCCAAGTGGTAGACAGATGGGAGAAAAGTGCTCAACAAGTGGTAGACTGATGGGGGAAAAGTGCTGAACAAGTGGGAGACAGATGGGGGAAAAGTGCTGGACATGTGGTAGACAGAGGGTAGACAGAGGGTAGACAGAACGTAGACAGAGGGGAGACAAGTGCTGGCCAAGTGGTAGACAGATGGAAGAAAAGTGTTGAACAAGTGGTAGACAGATGGGGGAAAAGTGCTGAACAAGTGGGAGACAGATGGGGGAAAAGTGCTGAACAAGTGGTAGACAGAGGGGAGACAAGTGCTGGACAAGTGGTAGACAGAGGGGAGACAAGTGCTGGACAAGTGGTAGACAGAGGGGAGACAAGTGCTTGACAAATGGTAGACACAGGGGAGACAAGTGCTGAACAAGTGGTAGACAAAGGGGAGACAAGTGCTGGATAAGTGGTAGACAGAGGGGAGACAAGTGCTGGACAAGTGGTAGACAGAGGGGAGAAAAGTGCTGAACAAGTGGGAGACAGATGAGGGTAGAGTGCTGAACAAGTGGTAGACAGAGGGGAGACAAGTGCTGGACAAGTGGTAGACAGAGGGGAGACAAGTGCTGAACAAGTGGTAGACAAAGGGGAGACAAGTGCTGGACAAGTGGTAGACAGGGGAGAGACAAGTGCTGGACAAGTGGTAGACAGAGGGGAGACAGAGGGGAGACAAGTCCTGGACAAGTGGTAGACAGAGGGGAGACAAGTGCTTCGCAAGTGGTAGACAGAGGGGAGACAAGTGCTGGACATGTGGTAGACAGAGGGGAGACAAGTGCTGGACAAGTGGAAGACAGAGGGGAGACAAGTGCTGAACAAGTGGGAGACAGATGAGGGAAAAGTGCTGAACAAGTGGTAGACAGAGGGGAGACAAGTGCTGGACAAGTGGTAGACAGAGGGGAGACAAGTGCTGAACAAGTGGTAGACAAAGGGGAGACAAGTGCTGGACAAGTGGTAGACAGGGGAGAGACAAGTGCTGGACAAGTGGTAGACAGAGGGGAGACAGAGGGGAGACAAGTACTGGACAAGTGGTAGACAGAGGGGAGACAAGTGCTGGACATGTGGTAGACATAGGGGAGACAAGTGCTGGACAAGTGGAAGACAGAGGGGAGACAAGTGCTGAACAAGTGGTAGACAGAGGGGAGATAAGTGCTGGACAAGTGGTAGACAGAGGGGAGACATGTGCTGGACATGTGGTAGACAGAGGGGAGAGAAAGGGTAGACAAGTGCTGGACAAGTGTTAGACAGAGAGTAGACAGAGGGTAGACAGAGAGGAGACAAGTGCTGGACAAGTGGTAGACAGAGGGTAGACAAGTGCGAAACAAGAGGTAGACAGAGGGGAGACAAGTGCTCAACAAATGGTAGACAGAGGGGAGATAGAGGGTAGACAAGGGCTGGACAAGTGGTAGACAGAGTGGAGACAAGTGCTGAACAAGTGGTAGACAGAGGGTAGACAAGTGTTGGACAAGTGGTAGACAAAGGGTAGACAAGTGCGGGACAAGTGGTAGACAGAGGGTAGACAGAGGGGAGACAATTGCTGTACAAGTGGTAGACAGAGGGGAGACAAGTGCTGGACATGTGGTAGACAGAGGGGAGACAAGTGCTGGACAAGTGGAAGACAGAGGGGAGACAAGTGCTGAACAAGTGGGAGACAGATGAGGGAAAAGTGCTGAACAAGTGGTAGACAGAGGGGAGACAAGTGCTGGACAAGTGGTAGACAGAGGGGAGACAAGTGCTGAACAAGTGGTAGACAAAGGGGAGACAAGTGCTGGACAAGTGGTAGACAGGGGAGAGACAAGTGCTGGACAAGTGGTAGACAGAGGGGAGACAGAGGGGAGACAAGTACTGGACAAGTGGTAGACAGAGGGGAGACAAGTGCTGGACATGTGGTAGACATAGGGGAGACAAGTGCTGGACAAGTGGAAGACAGAGGGGAGACAAGTGCTGAACAAGTGGTAGACAGAGGGGAGATAAGTGCTGGACAAGTGGTAGACAGAGGGGAGACATGTGCTGGACATGTGGTAGACAGAGGGGAGAGAAAGGGTAGACAAGTGCTGGACAAGTGTTAGACAGAGAGTAGACAGAGGGTAGACAGAGAGGAGACAAGTG